AGAATTCAATTTTTGTTAAAATCAAACTAAGTTTAATTTTGGACCCTTTGGACCTTAATGTAGACCAATTTAAAAAACAGGACCAAAAAATTAAAAATCTAAAAACACGGTTAGATTTGGCATATCAAAGAACCCCAATAATTCAATTTTTGATGAAATCAAACAAAGTTTAATTTTGGACCCTTTTGACCTCAATATGAACCAATTTGATAGCGGGCCCACAAAATAAAAAATCTAAATACATGGTAAGATTCAGCATATCAAAGAACCCCATATATTCAATTTTTGTTGAAATCAAACAAAGTTTAATTTTGGACCCCAATTTGGACCAACTTGAAAACTGGGCCAAAAATCTAAAATCTAAATATATGTTTAGATTCAGCATATCAAAGAACCCCATATATTCAATTTTTGTTGAAATCAAACAAATTTTAATTTTGGACCCCAATTTGGACCAACTTGAAAACTGGGCCAAAAATCTAAAATCTAAATACATGTTTAGATTCAGCATATCAAAGAACCCCATATATTCAATTTTTGTTGAAATCAAACAAAGTTTAATTTTGGACCCCAACTTGGACCAACTTGAAAACTGGGCCCATAATCAAAAATCTAAACACATGTTTATATTCAGCATATCAAAGAACCCCATATATTCAATTTTTGTTAAAATCAAACTAAGTTTAATTTTGGACCCTTTTGACCTTAATGTAGACCAATTTGAAAACGGAACCAAAAATTAAAAATCTAAATACACGGTTAGATTCAGCATATCAAAGAACCCCAATAATTCAATTTTTGATGAAATCAAACAAAGTTTAATTTTGGACCCTTTTGACCTCAATATGAACCAATTTGATAGCGGGTCCACAAATAAAAAATCTAAATACATGGTTAGATTCAGCATATCAAAGAACCCCAAGAATTCATTTTTTGATGAAATCAAACAAAGTTTAATTTTGGACCCTTTTGACCTCAATGTGGACAAAGTTGATAACGGGGCCCAAAAATCAAAAATCTAAATACATGGTTAGATTCAGCATATCAAAGAACCCCATATATTCAATTTTTGTTAAAATCAAACAAAGTTTAATTTTGGACCCCGATTTGGACCAACTTGAAAACTGGGCCCATAATCAAAAATCTAAATACATGTTTAGATTCAGCATATCAAAGAACCCTAAAAATTCAATTTTTGTTAAAATCAAACTAAGTTTAATTTTGGACCCTTTTGACCTTAATGTAGACCAATTTGAAAACGGAACCAAAAATTAAGAATTCAAATACACGGTTAGATTCGGCAGATCAAAGAACCCCAATAATTCAATTTTTGATGAAATCAAACAAAGTTAAATTTTGGACCCTTTGGACCTCAATGTGGACCAATTTAAAAACGGGGCCCAAAATCCAAAAACTTAATACACGGTTAGATTCAGCATATTAAAGAACCCCAAGAATTCAAGAATAAAACCCCATTGAAATTGATCAAGAAATAAGCAATTTATACGAAGTATCTTCTTTTGCACAATACTGTGCAATTGAATATTTCTTGCTATTGTGCAATACTGTACAATTGACAATTTCTTGCTATTGCGCAATATTGTGCTATTGGATATTTCTTGCTATTGCGCAATACTGTGCAATTGAAGATTTCTTGCTATTGCGCAATACTGTGCAATTGAAGATTTCTTGCAATTGTGCAATTGAAAATTTCTTGCTATTGCACAATACTTATTATATAATAATTTACACATCCTGTTTGGTGTGTATCTCCTACCATATCATTATTATTTGCTTTTAAATATTAATCAGAAATAACCAACTTAAAATGGAAAATTTTAAAAGAAAAAAAAAAGGAAAAAAAGAAAAAAAAAGAAAAAAAAAAATCCCCCCCCCAAATTTTTTGAACCCCCTTATGATTCATCACCCCCAAACTCAATCCCAGCCTTCCCTTTGTGGTATGGTACCTTGCAGTACAATTTCAGAGAGATCCATACACTTGAACACAAGTTATTGTCTGGAAACTAGAAAAATGCTTATTTTTGGCCCCTTTTTGGCCCCCAATTCCTAAACGTTTCAGGCAATTACCCCCAAACTCAATTCCAGCTTTCCCTTTGTGATATGGAACCTTGTAGTACAATTTCAGAAATATCCAAACACTTACACACAAGTTATTGTCATGAAACTAGAAAAATGCTTGTTTTTTGCCCCTTTTTTGGCCCCTAATTCCAAAAATTTTGAGGCAATTACCCCCAAAATCAATTACAGCCTTCCCTTTGTGATATGGAACCTTGTGGTACAATGTCAGAGAGATCCATACACTTACACACAAGTTATTGTCTGGAAGTTACAAAAATGCTTATTTTTGGCCCCTTTTTGGCCCCTAATTCCTTAACTGTTGGTACCATAACCCCCAAAATCAATCCCAACCTTTCTTTCGTGGTATTGAACCTTATGGTAAAATTTCATGGAGATCCATTCACTTAAACTAAAGTTAGAGTGCGAAAACCAATGTGTCTTCGGACGACGCCAGACGACGACGACGACGCCAACGTCATACCAATATACGACCAAAAAATTTTCAATTTTTGCGGTCATATAAAAATTACTTGATATTTAGAAGAAAATAAAAATTTTGCAATTTTTCCATTTCTAAAGGTGCATAACTCTGAAACGGTTAAAGTGACACCACCAAAATTAAAACTTGATCTGTGTTTTGTGGTAATAAGCATTGTGTATAAGTTTCATAATATTTGGTTGAGGCAAACTTAAGTTAGAGAACGAAAACTATAAAGTGGCATAACTCTAGAACGGTTAAAGTGACGCCACCAAAATTCAAACTTGATCTGTGTTTTGTGGTAATAAGCATTGTGTATAGGTTTCATAACATTTGGTTGAGGCAAACTCAAATTAGAGAACAGAAACCAATTTTGGGACATACATACAGACAGACAGACGGACAAGGGTAAAACTTAATGCCCCCACCGCTACGGCGGGGGCATAAATACACAAAAATTTGGTAAAAATCTTCATTGTCAAAATGATTGTAGGGCAATAACTCTAACAAGGAGTCAGCTGCACATTTCAGCCATGTTGACTTATTTGTAGATCTTGTCTTGTTGATCATTTTTGCTATTTAAAGTTTCTATCTATCTATTATAATTTTTGAGATAATGGGCAAAAAAATGGTAAAATTCATCCATTAAGGGCAATAACTCCTATAAGAAGTCATCTGACAGTTTTGACTTGAATGATCAAGAGGAAGAGCTCAACATTATAAACAGTTTTACCCTTGTTAGATTCTCTCTACTTAAAGCAATTTTGTAAAATGATAGGCAAAACTTGCATTTTACCTCTTTATATAAATATAAGGATGTGGTATGATTGCCAATGAGACAACTCTCCACAACAGACTAATTGACACAGAAATTAACAACTATAGGTCACTGTTTGGTCTATGTTCTATTTTTAGCCATGTCGGCCATCTTGGCTAGCTTGCGAGGTCATCAGACACATTTTTAAACTAGATACCCCAATGATGATTGTGGCCAAGTATTGTTAAAATTGGCTCAGTAGTTTCAGAGGAGATTTTAGAAAAAAGTTAACAGACAAAGATGAGGGACAACAGACGATGGATGCCAAATGATGAGAAAAGCTCACTAGGCCTTTTAGGCCAGACGAGCTAAAAAAAGACAATCAGGTGGACAGCAACATTGGTAATTAATTCCCTGGACCATGAATGACCTACATGACCTAGGGGGCAGGGCCTCCAAATAGTCATCAAACTGATGTATGCACGGATAGTACTTTTAATGCAAATTTATACAAAATATCATTAATCTATAAGGAATAGTTCCTATCAAACTAACTTAAGCAGAAAACAACATTGAAAATTGCTTATTAATTCAGTCACTGGACCATGACTTGGGAGGCAGTAACTTGAAATAGTTGTCAAACTGATATGTACTGATAGTAATGTAGCTTTATACAAAATATCATTGTTCTATCACAAGTAATTCCTATCAAACTGACCATGGTAAAACACGGACCCTAGATGGATAAGTGAAATCTGTGTACCTTTACAAAGCACAACTGAGTTTGAATAGTTCTTTCCATGTTATTTCTCCAAGAATTACTTGAAATGAATGTAAGATAAAGGAATAAATAAAATTTTTAAGCATTTTTGAATAATGCATAATTAAATCTCACACCGGCACACATGTAAGTTCATACATGGTTCTGTCGATTTTTTACTACCTTTTAAAACTTATGATAAAATCATATTTTAATACATATTTCTGATAGGCAAAATCATTTTCACTAAATTCATAAGATGTAGACCAGTGAAATTTTAGAAAATAACTTTAGACTGATCTATGTCTGCAGGTGCAAAACAGTTTGTTTACTTGTCGCCTGAACCATGTGAACAGGTAAATTTCAGCTTTCAGACAACTAATTAACCTTGATTGTAATGAGGGGGTATTAAGTAGGGCTTGCTTTTGTAGAATAGGCTTTACTTCAACTTATTCATCTTGTCACTTTTACTTTTATGAATGGAAACATGTTGATGGCAAATGGTCAGGTCAAAAAGATCGCATATACTTTTTGAATTATGTTAATATGGCAAATGTACAGCAAACTTTAAATTTTGCAATATAAATTTGGATCTGATGTGGGTGGTTCAGAACTGTTGATAGGTTTTAAGAAAAAGATTTTTTTTTGTTGGACCTTTTTCAACATGCAAGAGCTCCAACAAACTGAGCCCTGACTTGGCATGGCCTATTTACCATTTTCTTTAGTACTAGGACTATACATTTTAGTTTTTGGTCCATTACAAAGATTTTTCAGGTTTTTTTTCAATGATTCAATGTACCCATCATTTGTAACACTTTTAAAAACCTTTTGATCCGCCCCCTAAAACATTTATTGTTGCTGTTTTAAACTCCAATACATTATATATTCTTTCAAGAAAAAGAGCATATTAAATTTTGAATACATACTTTCATTATAATAGACTGTTTGTCCAATGCAAGTACGACATCACACGTTTTCTGTAACTTTATACTGTAATTGCATTAGTTGTGTCCCTTTAGCTGTTTAGTATACGATACAGATAGGCACATTTCTAAATGAATTTAACCAACAGTGATCAAACCTTTTTGTCTTGTTTCCAATTTAAATGGGACACCATTTCCATGGTATTCACCCATGTCATCACAACAGCACTGTCATCGCGGGGTTTAGGCAGGATTTATGATTAAACTGGTCATGCTGGTGCTAATCTCTGCCAGTGCGAGTGACAACCTGATCGTGCCGCTTAAGTGCACTGAAATAAAAACAATATTTCAAAAGTGTAATCTACTCATCACACATACTCATAACAAATCTATGGTTATCAATATATTTTTTTTCTTTTTTAATTGAATAAGTCTAAAATAAACTATGTGATACAGACGTCATTTGTTAATATTATTTAGTTCTTAAGCGACACAACCTTTGACCCAGCTTGGAAGCTGGAAAGATGGCAGGGTTGAGAAATGAAGCCCGGTTGTCGTTGGAAATTCGAACTAAATCTATTGAACAGACGTTGATTCCATTGGTAACACAGGTATTTTCTTACAACTGTATTTATATAGTTCCAAGATACAATTGCAAACTGTAATACAATGAGGATATTGCCTTGAAGTTGAATGAATGAACAATGAAAAAATTATATATGAATATTTACATAATTCATAAAACATGTAGGCTAGCATGTAAATTTGAATGTTATACAAATCTTATGCTTTTTTGCAGAAGATAAATATGCATTTTCAGGTCAGAAACACCAGATCAGATTCCTCTGTCGTGCTCCCTACATGTACATAGAATATATATATATATATGAGAAGTATTAAACAAAGATCTATACATGCTGTTGGTGACCTTCTGCTGTTGTCTGTTCTATGGTCGGGTTGTTGTCTCTTTGACACATTCCCCATTTCCATTCTCAATTTTATGCTATAGACATGATAGACGACTTTCGATTTCATGCACTTCACCATAAATTTTCCATGTCACAATGCTTATTATATTACATCGCAGTAAGAATTGAATGTTCAATGATGTCATTTACATCAATTTGATTTCGTCCGCATAGTGTGATCACACAATTTTGTTGACAGGACATTTACAGTTACAATGTAATGTTTATAGATAACAAAAAGTTAAATAGTTTTACAAATTAAGTTCATTTTGCTGGATATTTCTTATTTTGGGGTCATGATCAGCCTTTTCCTGTACATACTTATAATGATATTAAACAAAAAACAAATGCATAGAGCAGGAATTTCAAAGTAGAGCCAGAGGGATGCATAACAAATGAAAGGGTATAGCAGTGCACAGAAAAGGCAGAGGGGAGCTCCATACCTCATTTGGGCTAGCTGGAACACTGCTAAAAGTTCCTTAAGCGTTTCTTGTTGAAACAAAATTTAAATAGCTTCTATTTAACTTTTTATTATAATAATTATAATATTTATAAAGCAATCGATTGTGAAATCTAACCAGGCTTCCAGAAATATGCCGAACCATCAGACAAGTGAGACAATTATGCTGTCCAAATGTTCATTAAAAATAATTGTTCCCATTTTTGAAGCCAAAATCATTGTTCATTGACAAATTATAACATGTTTAAATAATGTTTGCGTGGTCACTTCCATTGTGATTACCCATTTAAATTAATTCTGTACCCACTAACCCTTGACCATGCTAACTTTTTCTTTCTAAATTCACATTTTTTTTGTGTGCAGAAAACTGCTAATTCTTTGAAAACATTTTGATTATGAAGATATATATTGATCAAAATATGACACAGGTTTGAAAATAACCACTTAAATCATCCTCAATCTGTTCATTGACAGATTATAAATGGCAAACTTAAGCTTCCAGTAGAAGAAACAAGAAGTCATATAAAACTGGAATTGGACTAGTCATGCATGCTAGTGAAGATATGCTTAATATTTGGATTAGAAATCCCATTCACATAACAGTGTTCTAATTATTATCTTAAAATGTTTTAATTATGATTTGTGACTTAAAATTTAAAGCATCATGTGCATGATGAGAACAAATTGTAAAACATGATCATACTGAATTAGTAAAAGAGTGGTTCTGATAAATCCAGTAAATTACTTTTAATTTCTAGTAAAATATTGTTTGATTCATGACCATTGTGACATGTCATGCATGTAATTGCCATTGATTCGGTTATTTTTTTTTATCAAAAATTGTTTCAAATGGGCTTCATCATTAACTAAGATTGCATATACCTGGTACATTCAGATTTCCAGAATGCATGCATGTTTATTGCGATTATAGTTAACTATATAATGTAAAAATAACTAAGAGTGTTATTATTGGTATTTGTGGTAAACATTTGAGTATTTTATCCAAGCCTATGTGTTTTAAAAAAGGTACATTTGATTCATCAAAATAAATGAGATATCAAAACAAATAAAATAAATGAGATAACAAGAATGGAATAATTCAATAAACCAAATTTTGTAATTAAGAAAAACATATTGAAAATCAAACAAAATAAACATGATGAATATGAAACAAATGGCATAAATTATGTGAAATGTCAACACCTTGTTATTAAACATGGCTAACTGGATTTACATGATTAACCTCATAAGTTAGTTGAAATTCATTTTTAATTACATTAAGCTTATTATGATAAATTTTATTAACCAATAACTGCAGTCTTTAATTGATTATGACAGATATTACATAATATTGTTATATAATCGTTTACACCTGGTACAAGTTAAGTGCAGGTAAATACAGAATCTCTTTCATTTGTCTTTTGATCACAATTACATTATAATATATATATACAAAATAACAGCTGTTCACCATTATCAAGGACCATTTTGTTACAAGAATAGTTTACCATGGTTTACATGAAATGATATTTGTTTCTCTGTTGCAAAGCAGATGCAAAAACTTTAGATTTATTTCTCTGATCAATATTCAAGGACAGATAATGCTGCAGGGCTCCTTTGCAATCTTAACAAAGGTATTCACAGTATGCAGTTACAGGATGCCTACATGAACATGATATACTCATAATAACAATATGTATTATAATGTTGCAATTTGTTGTACATACTGCATAAATATTTTACTATGAAATAAGGTTAAATTGCCGTCTTTTTCCATTCGTTTGTGTTCGAGTTTTTGATTTTGCCATTTGTTAAAGGACTTTCGGTTTTGATTTTTAGCTCACCTGGCCCAAAGGGCCAAGTGAGCTTTTCTCATCAATTGGCGTCCATCGTCCTGTAGTCGTCGTCCGTCGTCGTTAGCTTTTTACAAAAATCTTCTCCTCTGAAACCACTGGGCCAAATTTAACCAAACTTGGCCACAATCATCATTAGGGTATCTTGTCTAAAAAATGTGTCCGATGACCCCGCCAACCAACCAAGATGGCTGCCATGGCTAAAAATAGAACATAGGGGTAAAATGTAGATTTTGGCTTATATCTCTGAAACCAAAGCATTTAGAGTAAATCTGACATAGGGTAAAACTGATTGTGAGGTCAAGATCTATCTACCCTGAAATTTTCAGACAAATCTAACAACCTGTTGTTGGGTTGCTGCCCCTGAATTGGTAATTTTAAGGAAATTTTGCAGTTTTTATACGACCGCAAAAAAAATTTTTGTGGTCGTATATTGGTATGACGTTGGCGTCGTCGTCGTCGTCGGCGTCGTCGTCGTCGTCGTCCGGCGTCGTCGTCCGAATACACATTAGTTTTCGCACTCTAACTTTAGTTTAAGTGAATGGATCTCATTGAAATTTTACCATAAGGTTCAATACCACAAAAGGAAGGTGGGGATTGATTTTGGGGGTTATGGTACTAACAGTTAAGGAATTAGGGGCCAAAAGGGGCCAAAAATAAGCATTTTTGTAACTTCCAGACATAACTTGTGTGTAAGTGTATGGATCTCTCTGACATTGTACCACAAGGTTCCATATCACAAAGGGAATGCTGGGATTGATTTTGGGGGTAATTGTCTCCAAATTTTAGGAATTAGGGGCCAAAAAGGGGCAAAAAACAAGCTTTTTCTAGTTTCATGACAATAACTTGTTTGTAAGTGTATGGATCTTTATGAAATTGTACTACAAGGTTCCATATCACAAAGGGAATACTGGGATTGATTTTTGGGGTAATTTCCTCTAAATATTAGGAATTAGGGGCCAAAAAGGGGCAAAAAACAAGCATTTTTCTAGTTTCATGACAATAACTTGTTTGTAAGTGTATGGATCTTTATGAAATTGTACTACAAGGTTCCATATCACAAAGGGAAGGCTGGGATTGATTTTGGGGGTTTTCCCTCAAAATTTTAGTTATTAGGGGCCATAAAAGGGCAAAAAAAACATGCATTTTTCTAGTTTCAGGACAATAACTTGTAAGTGTATGGATCTTTATTAAATTGTACTGCAAGGTTCCATATCACAAAGGGAAAGCTGGAATTGAGTTTGGGGGTAATTGCCTTAAACGTTTAGGAATTTGGGGCCAAAAAGGGGCTAAAAAACAAGCATTTTTCTAGTTTCCAGACAACAACTTGTGTTCAAGTGTATGAATCTCTCTGAAATTGTACTGCAAGGTACCATACCACTAAGGGAAAGCTGGGATTGAGTTTGGGGGCGATGAATCATAAGGGGGTTCAAAAAATTGGGGGGGGGGATTTTTTTTTTCCTTTTTTTTCTTTAACATTTTCCATTTTAAATTGGTTATTTCTGATTTATATATAAAAGCAAATAATAATGATATGGTTTGAATAGGCATACATGTGAACCTCCCGATGGGAGTACAATAATCCCGTTTTCAGGGGTCTCCTCCCGACCTCCCGTTGAAAAAATCCCGTGTATGAAATTTTTCATGAATGAAAAATTTCTGCCCAACATAACATCTCAGGCATCTGGTGTAACTGACATTACCTGAAGTTATATTTTACCTGTAAATCAATTAACATGCATAATTATATGGCTTCACTTGTCAGCTTGGGTGTCAAACATACTGGTAAGCAACGATTTTTACCTCAGGCTAACTGCCGTTGTGTAACAAAAACTGTGTATTTATTGGGTTACTTCCCTTGATTTATCCTGTTTTAAGTTACTTTCCTTTTAATAATGAAAATTTTTAAAAGAATATAAATAAAATATAAATTGAACAAATAATCATAAAAGGATGGTTATTAAATGATTTTAAATGTCTTAGGACAAATAAAAAAATAATAATTTGAAAATTATTTGAGGATTCTATACTTCCTTTTAAGGCTTAAATTGAAATTTATATAATAACTATGACCCTAACTTTACAGATAGAATGAATTTCTGAGTTTGCAAATAAAAACTATTTGCAAGAGAAAAAAATAAAAAATAAAAACTATTTGCAGACAGCTAAACAAATGTTCTGGTTGCAATGATTGTTTTATAGAATATGAAGTAAAAAATTTAAAGAACATACTGGAAAAAAACAATGTTAAATTGAACATGTAGAATATAAAGATGGAGAAACTTTATAAGTACAAGGGTACTATAAACATAATAAATTGGTTGGAAAGT